TAGCTAAATTCACAACGTTACACAACCTCCTTTGGCTTAACGAATATTTTGCCCAATCGCATTTGGGTCTCTTCTCATTTTTTTTTGTTTTATCGTGCTGAAGATCCTGCTGATTCTGAAACAGGTTCAGAGAAACCATTGTAGAATAGCTTATTGAATCAAATCAAACGACCAATTAACCAACCAATTACCATCCAATTTACTGATAAAGGAACCTGTAAGCTGAACAAATGAGTAGTTAAATCTCTAACAGATGTTAAAAATAAACAAATTGATTGAAAAACTGACCACATGACCACATGAGTAATTGACTGTAATCAGTAATCAATCAGATTATTTAATTGACAAGAGATTACTTGATGTAACCAAGTAAATGTTTGACTAATTTAATGATAAACAAATGAGGCAGAAATAGACATCTGTTTTTGGGTCAATCTGAAGGAAGTATGCAACTTGTACCAAAAGCAACCTCCATGGCACAATCAATGTCATTTTGAAAATACTGGAAGACAGTGTTGAGATGCATCATTCCTCCAAATGTCATCTAAATCCACCTCATCCTCACAAATCTACAATGGATGAATGAACGGTGTCCAATCGATTACACGTGCACATTAACAACCTCCAAACTAACCGAACCGACTGCCTAACAGACAAAAGAACAGCCATGACAGCCTTGGGTTTCTCCTCAGACAGTTTTGAGGTCAGATAGCGTATGTAATCCCCTGTGGTCAGGGTTGGAGAGCAGGTCATGTAAACTGATCTGTGACCAGCAGCCTCAGGGTGCGGCAGCAGAGGAAATGTAGCGCTGCTAACGTCTCGAAGCGCTCTGTGATCTGCACTAACCACTCCCTAACACACACACACAGCACATATACTGTATATTCCCAGTGCGTACACGTAATTCACATGTGAGCACTCTCGTGCACACAGCGGCAGCTCAGTGGACTATTGTTCATTCATTATGAGGACGACGGGGGAGGGAAGCGGGGTTTGGAGGAACGATGAGAAAGAGAGAAGGAAGAGGGCAACAGAGGAGAAAGAAAATGAGAGGAAAATGAGGTAGAGGACAAAATAAGTGTACAAGTGCCCAAACTGATGGTTTGGTGGCTGAAACATCGACCTCAGGAACCACATGTACCCTTGCTGGCCTGGGTTCAAATCCCACTAGAAGCTCCTTTCTTTCCTCTCAGCCTCCATTATGTCTCAATGAAAAGAAGCAGGAACACTTTGTCTTTATGTTACTTCAGTTTCAAATATACAGTAAAGTCATTTTCTTTGTGCATGATGTGCTTCAAAGCCAAGAGAAGTTCAGTTCTGGTTCAAACACACTATGGTGTACTCATACCGGTTAATTCTGCACAGATGTTACTTCAAGTTAGTCATCAAGGAACATGTCATTTTGCAACATCCCGTCATAGTTACTAAAAGTAAAGTCTACACTGTGTTAAGCGTATAGTTTAGTTTTTCTGCATGGTTATAAAAAGTAGAAGGTTGTAAAAAGAACCCACAGCGATAAAGTACATTAAGAAAAACCACAACCAAGATGCAATCATGAGTTTTGCAGGTTAGAAAATAAAGAAAGAGCTAATAAATAAACAACACAAAAAGTACTTTAAAATAAACAAAAAAGGAAAGAAACTAATACAGTGAAACAAATCCAAATTCAATGTTCCATCCGCATCTTAACTAGCATTTCTAAAACAATCGTAAGGCTCTTAAAGTGAATTGAGGGGCTGATTGACCAGCCACTGATCATTAGACAGAAGTATTCATGTCTAATACAAAACTTGCTTGTCCAAATGTTCCAGTCTCATTTCATTGGGCAGAAAATGCAAAACATGTGTACGGTACCAGTCGCTGAGCTTGCCCGACAATGTGCTGCATTGCCTCCCTGCGATTACTGATTGAATAAAACCTAATATTGTAACTTCTGTGAAACTTAATTTAAAGAATTAGACAGTCCTCTATGGTTTGAACAGTGTACTCTTTTAAAACCCATTGCTAAAAAGCTCAACCTTTAGCGCGGTAAAGGTTAAACGCACACGAATGTTACTTATCCAAATAAAGCTAAGTGTTAGTGACTGATTCTTATTAATATAAAAGCCCTATTCTTGTCCAATCCGCTCACTTTTCTCCTCTCCTCTCCAATGTTCTCCACTTCTAAATCACTTCCAAGACTGTTTTAAAGGCAGTTTTGGAGGTTAAATGAGATGGAATGTTATTTGTCCAAACAACACTGACGACTGGTGACTGATTCATACTCAGAAATACTACGAGCAGCCAGGAAAGACTTAACTCTCCCCCCTCTTCTCTCTTGCTCTTTCTGTCTGTCATTCTAGTTCTGCTGACTACAGCGGAAAACCTCCATAATGTATAAGTCACTTTAAAGAGGGAGGGGGGAGAAAGGGAGAGAGAGAATTTGGGGATGAAGAGGGAATGGGCATCACTGAAAATGAATAAGAATGAACACATGATGCAAAGTCTTGTCTAGGTAATTCAAGAGAGAGAAGAAGGGGATCAATGGATATAAAATGTTGCAGAGATATGACAGGAGAGAGAAAGAAGGCTAATATTAGAAAAGTTGGATCCACTGTGCGAAATGTTAAATGAGTCAGACTCATCACCATTGAGTTAAAGCCACTTTTTATACTGCTGTAGTGCCATTCATAGGTGAAATACCATAACTTTTGGGAGGATTGTCCATCCTTAAAATGGCCATGTGTCAACTAATTTTGGTTGCAATTGCTCAATTTATTCAAGAGTTATAAGAGTTGTCAGATCATGCCAGTTACAAGGAAACAGTATGTAATACAAAAACATATACCTCTTGTTTTTGGTGTTATCCAAATACGTGTTGCACTAAATTTGATAAAGACTGTTTCAAATTTGTTGGAGTTGGTGACAAAATTACCTATATAGAAATATATGTGTTTGACCAAGCATACCTCACATTTTAGGAGTTATTTGCAAAAAGTTAGAGCACTTTATAAATGGCCACATTGAAACCAAAAACGGATCAATTCGCCCCTTGCCTGAACTTTTCCACCAAATTATATGAGATTTTGAGATACTGCGAACTGACAGACGGACAAACAAATGGGACTGAAAAACCTCCTTGGCAGAGTTAGTGAATGTAAATATTATAGCAGAATAAACTTGTACTTCCATCTGTTCACACACCCTGTCAGTCAGGATTTGCCACGCTCAGAGGTTTCCTAAAGATATTCTGCTTGTGTGCATGTTTGTACTCAGTGTAAGAGGGACGTATGGCATATAGAGTCTGTTTGCTTAATCAGTGCTTTTGTCCTCTGCTTAGAATTGCACTGGTTCAAATGAATTTCTGAATGCTTTCTTCCTGTCTGCAAGACAAGTCCTAATATTTATGGGCACTTAATGAAAATCCAGGTCTCTACAGAATGTGTCATGAACAGACGTGTGTAGTCACATTCTGCATTTTAAATTACACTATATGCCTCTTGCTCTGTCTCTCCAGGTGTTTGCCAAAGTGTTCAGCCACGAGGCCTTGGAGTCCTACCTTCCGAAAATCCAGCAGGTCATCCAGGAGAGCCTCCGGGTGTGGAGCTCCAACCCTGAGCCCATCAACGTCTACAGGTACAGCAAGGGTCTTAGAGAACAGAAATGCCATTGTTATTGTGCCTTGAAATTGGGAACAGGATCTGCAGGTAGATATGTCTAAATAGTGAGTTTGAATATTGTACAAACAGTATTAGAGTACATAGAAACACCATTACAGGACATGGAAACCTCACAATGGTAGGAACATCACAATTAGAAATGACATCCCTGCAAGAAGAAACACAACCTAAGGAAGTGAACCTAAATGACATCGTCATTTAAGGTCGAAACGGTATTGTGTACAGAAATATCACCATTGTTCCAAGATAGCACGAGAGGTCCTCATTGGTTGTCTTTACGCAGGGAGAGCCAGAGGTTGTCATTCACCATGGCGGTGAGGGTGCTGCTGGGATTCAGGGTGTCAGAGGAGGAGATGAGGCATCTCTTCTCAACCTTCCAGGACTTTGTTGACAACCTGTTCAGCCTGCCGATAGACCTGCCGTTTAGCGGCTACAGAAAGGTATGTGTTGACATCCTCTACTTCCTTATTATCTACTCTACTTACAGTAGTTAGACCCCCGGTGTATAATGAGTATTGTGCTTTCACCCTATTTTTTACTTTACTTTCTACAACTGAGGCATTTTGTAAGTATTCAACATCACAAGAGGAACATAAACCTCAGCATTAATGTTTGGTTGCATAAAAATGATGAGAAAATGAAATGTCTAATGTTGGTATCTTTTGGTGAAAATGTGTAAAAAGTAATAACATTGTTGTTGGATAGTGTTACAATTCCTTGTGTATGTGTTTGCAGGGTATCCGGGCACGAGACACCCTGCAGAAAAGCATAGAGAAGGCCATCAGGGAGAAGCCGCTGTGCTCCCAGGGGAAGGATTACAGCGATGCGCTGGACGTCCTGATGGAGAGTGCCAAAGAGAACGGCACTGAGCTCACCATGCAGGAACTGAAGGTAACACATCCGTAAACAGAAAATCACCTGGGTTGGAGGAGAAGGAGTGCAAACATGCGCTGGAGAGAAGCCAGACGCACAAGAAGCCACTCAATCAGACATGGGACCGTTAACACATACAGTACAGATACACACCAACTCTAATGCGTATGTGTTATAACATACACACAGTCGCCCATGATGAACACACTCACTGTTTACATAGTAAAGTGCTGCCAAAGGGTACCTGTCTTGGCTGACTGAACACACACATACATACACGCCAACAATTATCTTAATTTCTCCAACAAATCATCGCGGGGTCATAAGCAATGAGAGTGACTTATGATACACATCTTTATGTAAAATATGACTGCAGGGATGCTAGGTGGATGCCCGACAGTAACAGTATAACACACACACACACACACACACACACACTCATGGACAGGCACACCCTCTATTTACCTATTAAAGTAATTCTGAGGAATTCTGTGGAAACTCAACTCTCTCTGCCTCTCTCTCGCTCTCTGTGGTTTCTGGGTTAAGTCCAGGGCCAAAAATAAGTCAACACTCCCCCTGCTAGGGGTCTGAAAGAGGCCTCCTGTACGCACACACATATATAAATACACACTCAAAGTGAACTGGGGAGGCCCTGTCGCAGAGGCCCAGGCTGAAGCACTCGCCTGCAGTTTTCTGACGCACGCATATATAACACACATAGGGTGAGGCAGAGATGTGTTTTGACACAGATGATGGCAGATGAGAGGTTTATAATGAGAGTCGTGCTGCCCAGCCTCAGTGTTATTTATTCCACTACCTTAATAATGGGCCCGGCACAGTGTGCTAAATGTTGTTATTGGGTACCGACTTCATATTTCCAAACACGCTACTTTTCAGGAATTAAAAACAACATACTTTTATTATGCACTGGCTTTTTGGCATTTTTTTTGGCTCTCTGTCATTACGAAACAAATGGCAAGCTTGAGGTGTGGGGTAGCGGATTTGTGCCAAAAGTAAGGTTGTCCCAGGTTGAGTTTGCTCCCAATTTGGCTTAATAATTATTGACAAAAACGATTTCACATTTTGAAAAGAATAAATCATAATTCCGATGACAACTATATAACATACAGGGTGAGAAAATCAGTTTTCTTCAATCATAAATTCTGTATTTTGTATTTCTACCACCTTCAGAAAACGGTATCCATGGCTATAGTTTGGCATTTGGCTAATATCCACCTTCATCCTTCAGCACATAATACTACCATCTATATTTCCACTCTCCAGACCCTTTATTCAAGTGACAAGCAATTAGCCCATCAGAAGCTGAGGGAGAATTTAGTTGGCTTGCCCACAAAGTAAAGACAAATCAACTCATATGCCCTCAGTACAGTCCTGCACACAGTGTACGTTTGTGCTCATGCTAAAATTACACTTTACTTTCCATATCAGTGACTAGCTTTTACCGACTTTGGCCAAGTAGTGAATAGTTATAGTGACAAGTAGGGAGATGTGTTTAGAGGCAGTATTTGGAAAGTGTCTAGTCTAACTCATTTTAAGAACCTGCACACTGATACACTATCTCGCCTCTCTGTTATCCCACAGGAGTCGACCATTGAGCTGATCTTTGCTGCCTTCGCTACCACGGCCAGCGCCAGCACCTCACTCATCATGCAGCTCCTCCGCCACCCTGCCGTCCTGGAACGCCTGAGGGAGGAGCTGAGAGCCAGGGGTCTCCTCCACAATGGCTGCCTCTGCCCTGAAGGAGAGCTGAGGCTGGACACCATCGTGAGCCTCAAGTACCTGGACTGTGTCATCAAGGAGGTGTTGAGACTCTTTACGCCAGTCTCAGGGGCCTACCGAACAGCCATGCAAACCTTCGAACTTGACGTGAGTAGGCCAGTAATGAGTACTGGTTTAAACTTCCTTTTTTTGTCTTTATTTTATACAATGTGAGTTCTATTTACAAGAAGAAGAACATAGTCTTATACTACAGGAGAATACCCAAAAAGTTAACTCTCAACGAAAAAATGCAGTCTCATTTCAAACAAATGGTTTAGTAAAGAGTAGTTAGAACATTGTCTTCAAAGATTTTTATGAAGAACTTTGAAAGTCTGGTCAAACTACAACAAACTATCCCTAAAGACAAGGATTTATGGGCACTCAAGTATCTCATTCCTGTATTCATAGCTGGTATGAACATGAGAGAAGATAAGTTATACCTAAAATTCCAGAAAAGTCCTACATGCTTAGCCAGAGGTACTGGAACTACATTCTTCCAAATCTCTGCCCAGATATCTACTTGCAGTCGCAATTGCACCCTTACAAATCAGCTCTCTTTCTGTCTCCAGGGAGTCCAGATTCCAAAGGGCTGGAGTGTGATGTACAGCATTCGGGACACCCACGACACCTCAGCTGTCTTCAAGGATGTGGATGCCTTTGACCCTGACCGCTTCAGTCAGGAGCGGGGAGAAGACAAAGAGGGACGCTTCCATTACCTGCCCTTTGGCGGTGGTGTCCGGTCCTGCCTGGGCAAGCAGCTTGCCACCCTCTTCCTTCGCATCCTGGCTATTGAGCTGGCCAGCACCAGCCGTTTTGAGCTGGCCACCCGGCAGTTCCCCCGCGTGGTCACAGTACCGGTGGTCCACCCTGTCGACGGGCTGAAGGTCAAGTTCTACGGATTGGACTCCAACCAGAACGAGATCATGGCCAAGTCGGAAGAGCTGCTGGGAGCGACTGTTTGAAGGGCAGAGAGTTGATGAGTAGGGGGGTGAGTGATCGAAGAAGTCTTTAGGGAGAAGATTGAAGGAAGGAAAGAAAGAATTTCAGAGTTATTTTTTCTTCTCCACCTTTGCTCTGCCAAGTTGGAGGTTCCTTTTCAGACTAAAAGAAAAGCAGAAGTCTTCGTCTCTTGTTACAGCTGATGATGATCGGGACTTTCCTCTGAGAAAGGAAGAAGCTGCCAAAAAAGTTCTTAATTATGCTCTATTCTGTGTATTTTTTTAAAGAAATATACAAACAAAATGTATGTACAAAAAAGCTATGTAATATAATTTGAAAGAGAATGTGGGTAGTGCACAATGGGAGAAAGAGAAGTATGGTGGTACTTTTGGGGAAATGAAGTGTTGAAATTAGAAAAGTAAAGGAAAAGATGGTTGTGGGAGGAAGGCAAGATGGATGAAACAGGGTATAGGACGAAAGAATATGATATTTTAGCATTTTGCTTATGCTTAATCAAATGCAGTGAACCATTTCAGTTGTCTAGCAGGGTAAAAGAGATGGGTATATAAACTGAAAGTTGTAGATTTTCTGGTCAAAATGTGTGCATTTAGAGCCAGAATTTTTCACGGTGCCACCCAGTTTCAACTCATGTTTTCTGTTTATTTGAAAAAGATTTGAAAGAATGATAGAAATCAGTACTGGCTTTGTGTTTTCCATCAAAGGTCCATCAAGATTTGAATTGATTACTAGCTTACAGATACAGTCAAAAGGATCATAGCACATTGCAGGTTGTGGCACAGATACACTGTGTTGCTGAGCTCAGATTTGTGGTCCACCGTTCCTTCAAGTCGACTACATCATGATGCAGTAAATTATTTGACCGTCTTAAATTTGTACTGCTAATGAGGGTCAAGTATCAATTCAGGAAGTGAAGGGCTGTGCTTAGAAATGTTCTGACGGGGAAAATATACTGGCTGCACACTGGGGCAGAAAACATAACATTTTGAATCTATGTAAATGGGCAATTTGTTCAATATATTATGACCTTTCCTGCTGTTTTTTCACAAAGCTGCCTCTAAACTTTATGATCCTCACTGATTTTAGTTGCCATATGTCTTCCATCCATGCATTGTACAATAGGGAAAGCTTTAGAGAACATAAAGGGTAGGAATTTCAGAGCTTTTATTCGAGTGATCTTACTACTTGTGTAAAAGAGGAGTGGAATTAAAATTACGGTTTAGAAGACAGTTTAACAGGAGTTTTTAGATTAAGTAACTGTTTAGGATACTCCTTAAGGAAGTATATCCTAGCTGAATGATTAATAACATCAGGATAGCTTTCACATTCTTCAAACCTTAAACGAATCCTCTTTCTTCCAAAACACAAACTCTAAAAAGGATTTAGAGGCTATGTCATCCTACCGTGTCTTAACATCTTTATATCTAGTGAAAACTTTGCATTACTCTCTTGCATTACCCACAGGTTGCCCAGCAGCATTGGCTCAAAATGTTGCTTATATAGCATATCCCAGTAATCTTGGTGGTGTGAACTCAGGTTCAGAGTAGACATTGTGGTGAATAATGAATAAGCCTTTGCTTTTTGACACTTAACTCTGACTGACTGCACATAAATAATGTCACTTACTCGCTGTTGTAGTTTCAGAGCTGGACTGATTACTTTTGTAAAAGCTGCCATTGCTTTGCTTTCTGTCCACATAAACAAAAAGATATCAGGGGTTTCCAATAGCGCTTGCTCTCAGTTGACTTCTGCAACCATTTTGTATCACCCCAAGCAAGCAATTTTGGTGGTGCAAGCAGAATCAACCAACAGGAATTCCCAATTGGCATCACACGAGATAAAAGTTACTGAATCGAGGTCAATCAGTAATGAGGTCCAGGTCTGCTCTGTAAACCCTCTGAACCTGTGCTTTGATAAATTAACTACACTTTCAAGCTGCATTGAGATTGTACTCTCTCGAACGGTGACTTTATCCCGCGACGAGGATACGAAAAAGAAATCACTCTCATGAAGTTTTGCAACTTCCTGAGCTGGACTAGGAGAAAAGACAGAGGGATAAGGTGGAGGTGGAGAGGAGAAGACCTACATACATGCTGCTTGAGTGTTGCTTTGTCATTCTGTGTTTGTTTACTTGTGTGCTATTTTAATTTTCTCGTCTCCTTGGGGCAGCCATTTGAGTTCTGCGGAGAAGGTGACAGTCTGTCTTGCTGCTCCTCCAATCAACGCTAAGAATGCAAAACAAAATAAATTCCATGGTTTAAGCAACTTTATTAGCTAAAAGAGATTTATTGTTTGAGGTGATTGCACAATCAGAACTCTCAGAGCTTTGTGTGTTCCATAATTGGAGAAGAAGATTTGTTTTTCTTATTTACCATATATGGAGAGCTTCTGCAACGGAACTCTGGGACGTGTTAGCAGAACTCTTGGACATTCTAGAATCCTTGAACAGAGTTCTAAGTTCCAAACCCGAAACTTGAGAGAGAAGGACCAATGAGGTTTCAGGGGAGGGCAGGATCATGAGCTCCTGGGGCTTTTTTTTTATTGGACGATCCTGTTGTCCAATAGCATTCCAGATGGATTCTGCCTGTGCTAGACATTGTTCACTCCTTCTACCAACCACACCACTGATTTCTTCATGTTAAAAAAATATAAAAATCTAATTTTTTTGCTGCTTTTCTTGTGTACATTTTCTAATTGAGAGTTCTAGATTGCAATAGTTTGTATCGAGTGAGATTTGCTATTTCTTTCCCCTTTTTTATATATATATATATAATTTAGCTGATTAAAATTATTGCATTTTGTGAAAGCAAAAAGAGCATTAATAGGTTATAGTGTATATTAATTTGTACAATATTCCTTTCTTTAGCAAGCCATGGGAAAAAATCAGCTATTTACGTCTACTAATAACCTAATATTAATGTTATTGTACGATTAATATTGTTGTTATAAGATATTTGAAATGCTATTTTTTATTCTATTACAGATTTAGAGTTTTTAGCCTAAATGAGAAGGTCTTTGGTAAATATTGGATGTATTTAGAATGTTATGTATTTCAGTTATATTGTAAACAGTGTTTAAAATGTTAATATTGTTGATTTGATTACTGTAATAATTATTATTTGTTTTGTTATTCAGACTTATTATCACTGCATTTTATTGATATTAATTATGGAAAACAGAAAGCACTTGCGAGGTATGTCTATTTTTTAAGTGCCATGCGACTACACTTCCCCTTCCTGTCACCTGTTGGTTTCTCTGAACCTGTCTTATGTCAATCTGTACATAATATTTGTATTTCTTTTTACAGGAAAAAAATGTTCATTTAGTTTAAATATGAATGTCTTGTTCTACTTTCTTCCATTCCTTTTTTGTTACCGTGATTGTTAAATGTACTCCTGTAATAAACTATAAAGTAAAAAGATATCGGAATAGTGAATTTTTTGTACTCTCCTCTTCTTCTAGCTAGCTATAAAATGGTTAGAATGCCACAATTTGTATGTTTTTAATGCATAAAACATTACAAACTTTTCTTCTTGAAATGAAGTGCAGCAGCTGTGCAACAACTCCGGAGAAACAAAACTGGCATAGCTACATCTGTAAAGCGGCTTGACAATAGGAGATTTATTCAAATAGCACCACCAACATGGATTCTAAACTCAGCATTATCATGTATCATGGCTTTCGACACTGTATTCTGATAAGATACCAATATCAGCTATCCAAACCCCTTCGAGAATCATTAAAGCATGCATAAATATTAAACTGTGAAAGAAACTTTGTGTGCCTTTACAAACCACATGAGATAAGCTCACAAAAAGTCTATACACATTGGGCATGCAAATCAAACAGGTGGAAGGCAGACTGCATATGCTAACAAGCTCGGAGTACTGAAAGCACTAACATGTAAATCAGAATGGTCAGAAAGCTTGTGGATGGGGAACAAGTACCAGGTGCTTTCTGTCAGTTTAAATAAACTGTTATTAGCAGTAAACTCTGCAGAGACGCAGCACTCCATCAAAAGCATTTCTTTTAATACACCCACCTGCTAAGGTTGTAAGTTTAAATATTAATTCCAGTAATATCTGCTCATGACAACCACAAGGTATGGTTACAGTTATGCAGCTAAAACAATATTGACGTGTCAACGTTAACATTATTGATTTATTGAAAAAAATAATTAATTAATTTCTGAGTCTGGTTTCTGATGCTCAAGTGGAACATTATATATCCCCCATACATCTGACTTTTACAACCTCACCTTCTGCACAGTATTTCCGACTTTGGCAGTGATGATAAATCCTTCAGAAAGGTTCCAAATGTGCACATTCCCAAGGAAGGTTGAGCTGATAAAAACCTACTAATTCCAAGCAACAGCCTATAACTCTCACAGATACTTTGATTCGAAGCTCCCAAAGTTTTAATTTACAGACTAAATGCTTAGCATAGATTTAATGGATACCTACAGTAATCCCAGCAGTACTGTGCCTAAACTACTTATTAACAGACAAATTAACAGATTAACTTCTGCACTTACTTGAATTTCCCTGAGGATAAATAAAGCATCTATTTATCTATCTATCTAGCTGCATCAGAAAAGCCACCATAGGAAACATTATTACGATCCTGCACACTATTCAAGTGTCCCAACCTGCTGGTCTATAAACTGACAGGTTAATGCCTCTGAATATAGGGAATGTCATTTGATTAATACCCAAAAATGACTATGGAATTATCACATATATGGAGGACAGTGTGACACCGTAACCTAACTGTATTGTTAGCGTCTGACTATTGCGTCATAACGGTTGCTTTCGGTTCACACTGAATCCATTTGCAGGTTCTGTTGTCACATGAACAAACCAGTATGTTGGCATATCAGACTGGAGACATAACCAGGGCCAGTTTTAAAGGCTGGGTGTGTACCCATTTGTACTTTTTAAACAGAAAACACCCCTTTGCTGGAAATGACATAAAATATATCGAACAGTAAGTACAATGTTATTAGCAATAGCAGAAAGCATCAAATTCATGCAGCACGGTCACTAATCTTACAGTTCTCAACATTACTCTGGAGTTTGCTCCCTCCACCACCCCCAACCTCCTCCTTCTGTTGAGCTCTGTTGAGTATTGTTGACTTTACTAAGATTTAATGTTCATATTTGTTAAGGGCAGGGATTCATTCGTTTGTTGTAAATTAAACTAAATGGTAAACTGTAATGTCTTGTGTGAATGTTAACCACTGTTTAGTATTGAACTCTTCAAAATGAGTCTAACAATGGGACTGAGCCTCGTCATGTGGGGAACACACAGAAACTGGTGGTCTAGTTTAGACTCTCAGCACACTGACTGACTGATGTCTCAATGCCTCCATATCTGTTTTTATTTCCCAGCCAGCAGATCACTGCGGTTTGTGAACATCAAGAAGAAACAGGCTGTGATGTTCGCCGGGAGTTTTCCTTTAGCTTGATGGAAGACAGAAACAGACGGAGAACGAGAAAACGCTATTACAATGAGCACAGATGTAAAAAAGAAAAAAAAAAGGAAATCTACACACACTTCAAAGACGTGGTTTGAGACGAACACACACATAGCCACGGATAAAGAGATGCACATATTCACAAATAACATAAAATATGACATAATATGACAAAATATAAAGGAAACGCTGGCGTAACGATGTGGACACAGTACAGTACTTACAGTACTTGTCAATGCACACACGCAGCTTGTGAGAAGAACAAGGAGTTCGATTCTGTTTGTCTGTAGTTTTGCCGCCAGGAGAGACTGTTTGCCACACTAAGTACTCCAAGATGAACCACTTCAAGGGAGCCGAGTGTGTGTGTTTGCGTGTGTTTGCGTGTGTTCCTCCATCTCCTGTTTGTGTGTGTGTGTGTGTGGACGAGATTTCATGGTTTTCATGAGTAGATTGAAGTTCTGTGATCAGTTGCCTCTTTGTAGCCTTTGAACTGTTTTAATATATTCTGTATTTTCATGTCTGTTGTACAAGTGTGTTGTATTGGTAAAATGTGTAGTGAGCAGACAAG